TACATTGATCGACGCATGATTTTGGCATGCACTCCCAAATTAATTCCATTTTAGGAAATGTTTTAAATGACCATCCAACGCCTCATGGACGTAGAGCTGTCAAAAGTTGACCCGACCCGAAATACTGAATCAAACTCGATTATTAACCGACCCATCTGAACTCGAAAAAATGGTGACCCAAACCCCACCTGAAACCAACCCTAGACCCAAGTTGACCCGAGTATGTGAGACCCGAACCCGAACATTAATTGACCTGGAGATGACCCGACCTGAATGTAACCCGTAAATTATTGACTTGAACCGAACCCGACTTGAACCGAAATTGACCCAAACCCGTTTTACCCGAATTTAACCCGACTTTTTACTAACCTAACCTGAATTTGCCTTTAAACGACCAATTTACCGGTTTACAACTTGCATGAATTTCATTAACTATAGCATACTACAAACATTTAAGACAACATATAATGATCATATATGGTTCCAAACGACATTATATGACCCCGAGATGTATCCCATAGAAATTCAAAACTTTTCGACACCGAGCCCCGAAATCTCCAAAATCGTGTATATTAGTCTTCAATTTTGGAATTTTTCGACTTTTTTTCGCCCGAAAATAAAAATTTCCGAAATGTTTACCATGGTCCCTAACACCCTCCGGGAGTCCAATTGGGTTTGGTGGAACCATCCTATTTGCTTTTAAACGACCAATTTAATTGCCGGTTTATAGCTTGCACGGATTTCATTAACTCAAGCCTACAACGAACATTTATGACAACATATAAAGATCATATATGGTTCCAAACGGCATTATATGATCTCGTGATGTATCCCCTAAAATTTCAAGAATTTTAGACACCGGGCCCTGAAACCTCCAAAATTTTCTCAAAAAGCGTGGATAATTAGTCTTCAATTTTGGAATTTTTTTGACTTTTTTTGGTCCGGAAATAAAAATTGCCGAAATGTATACCATGGTCCCTAATATCCTCCGGGAGTCCAATTGGGTTGGTGGAACCATCCTGTTTGCCTTTAAACGGCCAATTTAATAACCGGTTTACAACTTGCTCGGATTTCACTAACTCAAGCCTACTAACATTTATGATAACAAATAATGATCATATATGGTTCCAATTTACATTATATGACCCCGAGATGTATCCCATAGAATTTCAAAACTCTTCGACATCGGGTCCCCAAACCTCCAAAATTTCTCAAAAACGTGGATGTTAGTCTTCAATTTTGGAATTTTTTGACTTTTTTCGCCGAAAATAAAAATAGCCGAAATGTTTACCATGATCCCCAATACCTCCAGGGGTCCAATTGGGTTTGTGGAACCATCCTATTTGCCTTTAAACGACCAATTTAATTACCGATTTACAGCTTTCACGGATTTAACTCAATCCTATTACGAACATTTATGACAACATATAATGATCATATATGATTCCTAACGCCAATATATGACCCCAAAATGTATCCCCTAAAATATTAATACTTTTCTACACCAGGCCCCAAATCCTCTAAAATTTCTCAAAAAATGTGGATATTAGCCTTCAATTTTTAAAATTTGACTTTTTATTCACCCGAAAATAAAAATTGCCGAAATGTTTAGCATAGTCCCTAATATTGTCCGGAAGTCCCATTGGGTGGGTGGAACCATCCAATTTGCCTTTAAACGACCAATTTACCGATTTATAACTTGCACCTATTTCATTAACTCAAGCCTACTACGTACATTTATGACAACAAATAATGATCATATATGGTTCCAAACTGCATTATATGATCCCGAGATGTATCCCCTAAAATTTCAATACTTTTTGACACCGGGCCCCGAAACCTCCAAAATTTCTCTAAAAGCGTGGATATTAGTCTTCAATTTGGAATTTTTTGACTATTTTTCGACCGGAAATTAAAATTGCCGAAATGTTCCCATGGTCCCTAATACCCTCCCGGGGTGCAATTGGGTTAGTGGAACCATCCTATTTGCCTTTAAACGGCCAATTTAATTACCGGTTTACAGCTTGCACGGATTTCATTAACTCAAGCCTACTAGGCTACTACGAACATTTATGACAGCATATTATGATCATATATTGTTCAAACGGCATTATATGACCCTGAGATATATCCCCTAAAATATTAATACTTTTCTACACCTAGCCCCGAAATCTCAAAAATTTCTCAAAAAGCGTGGATATTAGTCTTCAATTTTGAATTTTTTTGATTTTTTCGCCCGAAAATAAAAATTACAGAAATTTTTACCATGGTTCCTAATCTCTCTGGGAGTCCAATTGGGTGGGTGGAACTATCCAATTTGCCTTTAAACTACCAATTTACCAGTTTACAACTTGCACCGATTTTATTAATTCAAGCCTACCACGAACATTTATGACAATAAATAATGATCATGTATGGTTCCAAACGACATTATATAACCCCGAGATGTATCTCATAGAATTTCAAGACTTTTCGACATTGGGCCGCGAAAACTCCAAAATTTCTTAAAAAGCGTGGATTTTGGAATTTTTTGAATTTTTTCGCCCGGAAATAAAAGTTGCCGAAATGTTTACCTTGGTCCCTAATACCCTCCGGGAGTCCAATTGGGTTGGTGGAACCATCCTGTTTGCCTTTAAACGGCCAATTTAATAACCGGTTTACAACTTGCACGGATTTCATTAACTCAAGCCTACTACGAACATTTATGACAACATATAATGATCATATATGGTTCCAAACGGCATTATATGACCCTGAGATGTATCCCATAGAATTTCAAGTCTTTTCGACACGGAGCCCCGAAACCTCCTAAATTTTCTCAAAAAGCGTGGATATTATCTTTCTATTTTGGAATTTTTTGACTTTTTTTTGCCCGGAATTTAAAATTGCCAAAATGTTTACCATAGTCCCTAATACCCTCCAGGAGTCCAATCGGGTTTGGAACCATTCAATTTGCTTTTAAATGGCCAATTTACCGGTTTACAACGGCCAATTTAATTAACTTGCACCGAACCCGACTTGAACCGAAATTGACCCAAACCCGTTTTAACCCTTCAAAACCCGAATTTAACCCGACTTGTTACTATCCTGACCTGAATTTAACCCGACCTGTTCCTAACCTGACTCGAATTTAACCCAACCTGTTACAAACCCGACCCGAAATCAACCCGGCTTGTTATTGACCTGACCCAAATCAACCCAACTTGTGACCCGACCCGAATTTTACCATACTTATTACTTACCCAACCCAAAAATTCAACCCGATCGGTTACTAACTCGACTCGAAATTAACACGACTTGTTATTGACCCTACCGAAATTCAACCCAAATTGTTCCTGACCCGATTTCAAATCACCTTAAATGCAATTAAGACCAACTTATTATTATTGATCAAAGCATTTTGTTTTGGGGGACCAAGTCAGTCCAGGCCAGCAAAAGAAAGGAACATCATCCTCAAATTTAAGAGTTAAATATAGTATATATTTGTTGTATGGTCAAAGGAGATAATTATCTTCCAAAATTATAGACTATAGTTCCCTAGTATATAGCCATATATATTATAGTCAAAGGAAATAATTAGCTTGATAAAAATGATAATTATCTATTTATAGTTAGTTGTACCCGAATATAACCTGACTTGGAAATGACCCGACCTGATTATAACCTGCAAATTATTGACTTGAACATAACCCGACTTGAATCCGAGAATGACTCGACTTAGAAATGACCTAACCTGATTATAACCCGCAAATTATTGACTTGAACCGAACCCGACTTGAACCTGAGAATGACCCGACTTGAAAATGACCCGACCTGATTATAAGCCGCAAATTATTGACTAGAATCGAACCCGACTCAAACCCGAGAATGACCTGATCTGATTCTAACCCGCAAATTATTGACTTGAATCAAATCCGACTCGAACCCGGGAATTACCCTAACCCATGAAAACCCGAATTAAACCCGACCTATTATTCACCCGACCCGAATGTAACCCTACCTGTTATTAACCCGACTTAAACCCGATAAGAAGTATGACCCGACGTGACCCGACTCAAGCATGACCCAACCCAAACCCAAACCCGACCCGCATAGGTTATGGAATTAATCCGAATTGACCCGACTCGAGTTGACCCGACCCACTCTTACCCGACCCAAACTCGATCCGTTTACCCAAATTGACAGCTCTACATGGATGTTCGTTAGCACGATGCTTAATAAATACACATCATTATGAATTCAACGAGACACCGCTTGATATATATATTCCTTGCATACTCCAATTTGCATATAAGGTCAAAGTTTAGTCAAGACTAATAAAAAATGAGCTTAGGTTAGATTAGATGAAGAAAAATAAGGTGAATGAAAATAAGGTGAACAAAATAAGAAATTTGATCAAGTCTAATAAAAAATGAGCTTAGGTTAGATTAGATGAAGAAAAATAAGGTTAATGAAAATAAGGCGAACAAAATAAGAAATTTGAAGGAATCCTTGTTATAAATACCATCTCCATAGACCATAGTACAAGAGTACTTTAGAAGTTATCATATTACTTGTAATTTAATAATTGTACTCCTAAGAGTTGTCAATTTTAAGAGTTTTTCCATCATCTTAATTAGTTTACTAATCAGAACTTGCAAAAACTTAATGAAATTTGGTGGAAAGCTTGATCCATTGTCATATTAAGTAATGTAATACCATATCATATATTTCCGAACAAAACTCCTGTACAAAGGAGTTATGAAATGAGATGGATGAAATATTTGACTAACGTATGAATAGCAATGACAAAAACTAAACATATAATTCTTCCACTGACAAATTGACAATATTCCATGTTTTGGTTTGGTTGTCAAAACAAAAATTGAATGTATCGGATAGGCCGCATAACCATATAGGCATAAATCATATGTACCCTCCATATTATCATACGCATAACTCCGTAATCTAGTCTTATACGGAGTACCAAAAAATGCATGCCAAATTAATCTGCACAGAAATTTCAAAAGGAGAAAAAAGTAGGAAAGGGATGAAAGAGAAATACAGAGTAGCAAGAAATATTGATATCAGCATACTCGAATCACGGAGTACTACTCAATGTAAAAGAGAGCATGCAAATTTTCCTTTTTCACCCCAAAATGAGCAGCTTTAAAATTTGCCTTGTATGAACTAGATCTAAGTTCCTTAGTCATACAATTTTAACCCACTCACGAGAACCCAATTACTGTACAAAATATGCCTATTTGCCCTATTACCGGAATTTCTCGGCTTCCATGTCCAAAACAGTTCACAAAAGGCAAATTATCTGAAGACATGCATTCAAGCCAAGTACTTGAATAGCTGAGGATTTTCCTTGTCTCGTTCAAGGTAGTCCCTAGTAATCAAATCTTCGATCCTCTTCTTGATCACCTTAAAATCAGGCTGCAAAGAAAACAATTATCAGCAAAATACAAAACTCATTTAAAATTTACAAATAACCACATACAATTTAAGTATTTAACTCAAGACCCCACAAGCAGCAGCAGTAATATGTCATACCTTGAAACTGCGGCTTAGATGCTCAACACACTCTGAGATCAATTGTTGATAACCCAACACCTTCCTGCTTTTCATTATACGTACGATAGAGGCATCAATAGCATAACGTCTATCCTTGTCCACATCCTCGACAATTTTTTTCCTCTCGTCCATTGTTGGAAGAGGAATCTGTATATCCAACAAGTACAGGGAGAAAACTAAGCATTTGTTTGAGAGAATATCAGGAAAATATCAATGAAGAATAAAGAACATATACAAGAGCATACCCTTATCCTCCTCATTCTGTCAGTAAAGCCAGGGTTGAATGCGAATTGATCGGTATGAGAGACAGTTCTTGACACTGGCTCCTTGGTAAGAACCTTGTACTTTGCACAAGACAATGACTGTAGTACTCTGACCAAGTCTTCATCACCTAAATTTAACTGAGCTGCAATTTCTGAATAACTCAAGCGATCTGCTGTGTTGAATAGAAGCAGAGCAGCAGCCTAAATAGAGATACATTAGGTATAAATTATTAACTTGATAGGAGAGAGAGAGAGAGAGAGAGTAAAAAAAATAGCAGAACAATCACTCTTACTTGATAGGTTCCAACAATCAATTCAATTGTTTTCTGACCAAACTTGCCATGAATGTTGCAACTTCCCAGAGAGTAAACCCACGAGAGCTTCCTGTGTTTTGTTTTTGTTTGATAGAATTGCTTAAAAGCTTCCACACACTTTACCTACAAGTACAAGCAAATAAAGTTTATTATAATCTACTGAGAAAATTAACAAGCTAGCATCAGTTACTCCTATAATTTTGTGATGCACCAACTACCATCTCATCAGGAAGGTTAAGATCAGAGGATTTATAGTTTGGCCAGAATCCAGTTGTGAGAACTGTCACATTCAAATCAAGCCCAGGATTGGCAATTGGGTTTTGCTCAAGATAGTCTTCAAAATGAGTCTGATTCTCCCTCCCCAAAGCCAAATCAGTTACCTGTAATGGAAAAGGCAGAGGAAGATCAAGAACAATACCCCACTAATTTACAATGGTTAAATTCAGATGTACATAACAACTCACCATCCCTTCCATCTTTGATGTAAACTGTGCACCACACTGCTGCTTCAATTTTGTTAAGATGCTCCTTTCATGATCATCATGGGCACTCTTGTCAAAGAGTAAACGGCGAGAGAGCTTCTTTCTGTATCAAGAAAGAAACATGAAACATTATCAAACTTTTCAGTCAGAGAACAACTCTAACGGGTGAAGAGAAAGGAGAGAAGCTAACCTGTAAAATTCAGCAAACATGTCTTTATCGCTTACATAAGCAAGCAGCTTTACTACCTGCAAACGTTAAAAATAATTACTTAATCATCAGGCATATTGAGCAGCACAGAACTTATATTTATAATTAGCAGCCTCATACCTTGTCAAGTGAGTCCTCAATAGCTTCATCACTTAGCTTTTCACTGCCACCCTTTTTGAGAATATTATCACAAAATGTTGCTAACAGTTCAGCACTAGTACTGCCAGCAACACCCTTGTTTAAAAATACCTCAAAAGCTTCCTTGAGAGCCTGAACAAGGCCAACAAGAAAACTTAAGCCACAGAACCAGGTAGCACAATTCATTAAATAAATAAATAAATAAATAACACAAGCACAATTATGCAAACCTTATGAAAGATGGTGTGGCTACTAAAGCACTCGATCACATAAACCATGAACTTATCGTGTAGCTCTATCACTTTCCTCACAAAGACCTGATACATGCAAACAAAATTTAGTTTGATCCAAATATTCATCCACTAATCAGGTATGTAGCTATAGGTTTTGGGACCTACCTGCTCATGTGATCCACCAGAACCAGTCTCAGCCTGCCAAGCAAGAAATTTAAAGGGAGGACAATCAATATAACAAAGCATTTAACCTATTAACATAGTCCATAAAAGCACCTAATAACTTAAGAATAATTCAACAATTCTAGATAAAGCAATAAAGTTGGAAAGTAACACTAAGCTACATCCTGGCCATTACAAATAGTCAAATCAAGAATCAACCAGCCATAAGGTATTCAATCATAAGTACAGCACATCAAAGACAACCAATGACAATAACATTTCAGAATGCATAAAACACACAAATGAAAGCTACTCTAGCAACAAGGGGATACAGCAACAGTGGAACAAGGGTCTTCTTAGTGCATCAACAGTCACTTTGACAATTTGCATTGAGACGCTCTTTAATAAGGGTAATGATGTGTGTGTTCTCGTGTGTGTGAGAGAGAGATAAAGAAACCACTGTTCATTTAGTCAAAGAAAGGTGAACAGAGCAAGCCAAAAAGGCAGCATGAAGGAAAGGAATCTCGTATTATACAAACTTCACAAACTAGAAGTTGGGTTAAAAGAGCATATATTAGTATTAACAAAAAATAGGTAGCTTTTCTCTAGCTGATTTAAGGGATCAACCATCATAAATTCTCATATGAGACCAAAGGTTTTTTTTAATACTGTTACAAAAATGCTTCAAATGATGACCATAGAAAGTGCCAAACCTTGCTAGTCGCAGCATCTTCTGCCTGCTGGACCAAGACAGTTCCTTCATCCGTAATATGCTGCAGGAAAGCATGTTGCACATCAAAAACCAACATGTAGTAACATGTACGTTACCATTAAACACAGGAAGTGGGACGTAAACATACCGTCTTAAAGATGACTCCAATAGGCTCCAAACCCCGGGGAACTTTACTGTATAGCCGGTACATCCTGGAAAGATCCTCCACCTAACCAAATAAGACCAAAAGAGTGATACACTTTATTTTGATAAGATAGTTTTATAAGCAATATGAGAAATATAATTAAAAAATACCTTGTCATCTTTAAGCAATACACGACATCCAGAGTTTTCTTTCTCGAGCAATTGGTTTTCAAATACCAACAACAACTCATTTTGCACTCTCTGTAAGGGACAGTATGGAGCAATCAGACCACAAATCAAATAGTTTGAATTAGCCCATTTTTTTTTTTTAAAAAAAAAAAAATATTTCTATTATTGATAACATAATACTATTAATTAGAAAATACTGTGCAAGAACAGCACACATAAAACCCATGCAAAAATAAGCTTTGGCCCTTTTAGAATCAGATTCCTCGACAAGTACTATAAAAGCATAAAGACAAACCTCTAGGAGCTTCTCTTCACTACTTAAGTGCAAGTAATGAGACACTCTCTCCTTTTCATTTTTCAAACATTCCTCAGACTGCATAGCCAAAAGGAATACAATAAGCAACAAAATACACAATGTGCTGCATGGAAATATACAAGAGAAATTAAGTCCTCCAAAACTTTGCCTTCAACATATATTCCGGACATGAATCCTCTACAATCCAGCTTGAGGCCTTCCGAGAATAATAAGCAGCAGTGTCATCCAGAAGATGCGCCTCAAAATCATTTTCATACTGTTCCATCTGTCCCATTCCAATTTCAACATAAATCCCAAGCCCATTCTTTAATAATGCTTGGTCAATTTGCCCACCCTCTCTTTCAACATGGATCTGAGTAGAAAATTCCAAAGTCAACCACTTTGCAGGCAAGAGAAAGAGTTGTGAAAACACCTCAAACAATTAACTTACCAGGGCTAGAACAGCATCCTTTGCTTTGCTACATATTTCTTGGTATACCTGATATAAAGAACAAAAATATCAGCTACTGCTTTAAACCATGAAAGGAGTTCAAAACAGAAAGGTTGGAAACAAAAGCTTAAACTTAACCACTTGATAATAACTAAAAAAAGAGCTTTAAATAAAAACAAAAGGGACAGTGAACAGACAAAAAAAGGACATTTGTATTAAGCAAACAAGATAGATCAAATACCAGATCACGGAAGCAAGTGAGCCCAACTTCTTTCAGTGGAGGAAGTGACCTCCGAGTAACAAAGTAACGATCAAGATAATGGAAGAAGCGAGATAGCCACCTGACCATTACTTTATGATTTGACCATCTTTTTACAAATTCAATCAGCATATATTCATCATGTTTTTCCTTCAAAGCTGGCAAAACCTGATTTTTTTATTTAAAAAAAATGGACAAAAGGCAATGGAAAATTGTTAGGAGCAAAGATGAAATGGACACATTGGATAAACAAAAACATATACAAGAACAGATAGTGGATATATGAGGCCTCAATCAAACAAAAGAACATTAGTTGGCAGTCTTGGCACCTTCAGTAAGTTACCTAACAAACAAAAAAATGGATTTATATGTATGCCTTACATATCTTATATTTGAAAATAATTGATTCAATTAATGAGATAAATAAGATGATAATCAAGAGATCACTAATGTTGACAACATTAATACCAAGGTTATTGAATAAAATCAAAAGATCATAGTAATGCTACTTTACAAAGCACTAAACTGCACTACTCATTTTAAATGATAACAAATACGAATAAAACATATCCAGTCCTAGTGCAACGTAACAAATTACCATAAATTAGGGTAAGATATTCAAAAGGGTTACAGGCAGAACATCCTGCCCAGACAGAAGGTCATCCTGATTTCCAAAGCAGAAAAATGTAATCACTTGGACTAAAGGACGACTTCAAATACAGCTTTTCGCAAAGAAAAATGTGACGTATTTACTCATTTACTCACCGACTTCAAATACAGCTTTTCGCAAAGAACAAGCTAGCTGCAAGTAAGGGTTTTCTCACCGTTGAAACTATGTAATCCACAAAAGCCTGTTTGTAATTATCATAAAGTTGCTGGGAATAATCAAATGGGGCTTTCTGAGTACACATGTTGTACATTGTTCTGCATTGATATAATAGTATTTTTGAGTTAGATACATAGCCTGTACTCATGATCGTATTATATAGGTCATAGAGGACAACACACTTACGTGTAAAGCATCGAGTAGTCTTCAGAATTAAATGGAGGCTCAGGTAAACCTTCAAGAATCATAATCAGTTTCTTGATTCCTTTCTCCATAAACTTCCATCCTTCCTCTAGTTCTATGGGTTTACGATCATTCATTATTGTATATTGCTACAATTTGCTCAGCTGTGACATGTAACAAAAGTAGTCACTTCAAGAACATTTGCTGTTTAAATAATAAAGAGATGATAGAATCTAACCTGGACTAAGATGCGTAAAACATAAACACATAATAACAGATCAGAGATATGGAGAGAACATGCAGATATCACAAGTAGAGTTCTAGATGTGGGTCAAACAGCAAGAGAGATCAAAGGAACATGGGATGAAAACTAAAGAGAAATTAAGAAGACATAAAATGGACTGTTACTATACAATAGCAAACAATGTCTAATTAAAAGAATGTACACCAACACCACCAATCCAATACAAGTGCCGTGCCTGTTACTCCATGTCTCTATGCACAGTAAACAAAAAAGGAACAGCAGATTTCTATGATCAACCCTTGCGAACTTCTAATGTTAATTTAATAAATCCTACCACAATATCTTTTTTTTTAGAATCCTACCACAATATCTTAAATAATAACAATACAACCAAATGATAAGCTAGCAATATTAATGTTTAAGATATATTAATATATTAGCAATATTTTCAAACTATAAGTCAATGCTAAGTCAAAATTGACAAAGTAGATATCCAAATTTGTGAAATTGACCTCGATTTATAAAATGTTTCCATGTAACAGTGCAACTCTTGTAGATAAACATCAGATTATCACGTCTACGCATAAAACATACACTCTGAGTCTACATATTGGGTGCCACTGTGTTACATCAAACAAGTCTCACACTTACACAAAATGCACCTGCCACCACATTATCTCCGAGCAATTACAACACTGACTAACCATGTCAACCGCTACCACCCTCTCTTTTTTCCATTGCTAACCCCAGCATATACTCCACATAACAACACATGACCCTAATTGTTCATATACATTAACTTCAATCTAGCTTTTTCCTCCAGATACAAAAAGGTAACCCTAACTACAAATTCAACCGTACACCAATCAAACCTACGTATGAAAGCTTTTCAATAATAATTCGACAGACTTGATTGTAAACTCCAGAAAATCAAAAACACCCGATATCAACAGATACGAGAATTCTACTTTTTCCAGAATATAGAATCATACACTCAACTAATCTGAACTAATGTAAATCACAATTATGAAATAGGCATTGACTTAAAAGTCCAAAATCATTCAACTCCAAATTAATGCAATCGCTCATACTCACAAAAACCTAATTCCAACAAGTATCAACTATACTCAACAATTCAGCATATCCACATTCAATCAACACAATTTTTAATCGGCAAAATAGTCCGACAAACCAAAAACATCAAAAACAATTATCAGAAAATTTAACAGATAACGACAGATAGAATTCCGAAATTAATCGAAAAATAATGAAGATTCTTAAAAGCAAAAGCAAATACAGATAATTAATTAAACAAAAGTATTGATAAACAAAAATAAACGAAGAAGAATCTGGTTACCGTAGATTATTAGGGTTTGCGAGCAATGAAAAATGCAGAAAAATCAGGGATTTAAGAATCGATGAGAGAGAAATATGAGGAAGAGAGAGAGAGAGAGAGAGAAAAAGGGAGAAGACGAAGAAGAAGACGATTATGGCCTATGTTTTCCTTCTCTGCTTTAACGACTGTGAATTATGAATCCCTTTTTTATGCTGCTATTACCCCTACATGGTTATATACTTTTATATATATATAATTATATATATATATATATATATATATATATATATATAATATTATAATATTCATGGGCTAAAAACTTCGTAGGTAAGGTTTTTTTTTTTTTTTTAATGGCAAGATTAAAAAAAAATACTTAAAGTCGTCTCTACAAGAGCTATTCCTAATGTATTAGTCAAAAGAATTGAAGAACAACTAGAATTATTCCAAGCATCAATATTCGTATTATTAGAAACTAAATGGCCCACATTAGCAATTTAATTTGTTGCGTGATTTGCCTCTATATAGATATGTTGGATACTCCAACTTTGAACCTGAGTAAAAAAGAAAATGATTTTGCCCATAAATTGTCTAAATGTCTTTTATAGCATTGATGACTGATAGATTATCATCTTCAATTTGAATGTTCTAAATGTCGCATTGAAGAGCTAGTTGTACTCCTTTTATGAAGAGTTATACCTTCAACTATGAAAGCATTGGTGTTGCCGAGGTTGAATGTAGATGTCTTGATGAGTATTCCACTGCTATCTTTAATGATGATTCCTAATGTTGTTGAATTGTTGCCAACTAACCCATCGAATTTAAGTTTAAAGATATTGATGGGAGGAGTCTTCCATGATACAAGGATGGAAGATGGGGAGAGCGAATGAGAATAATATAATAGACATGAGATCTCGGAATGGGAGATATCGTAGAGGAAAAAAGTATCTAAGAGACATCTTTGGTGTCACTCATTGATCGCATATTACGTTCGATGGTAGATTCTAAAAATGTAAAAGGTCTCATTGCGGAAGATGATAGCATTGCAGGCCTCTCTTTCCAAAAACTTCGGATGAGGAAGATAAATTTTCTTAAAGTGTTATTTGGGTTGTTTTCTAAGTAATAGAAATTTTTTCTGTTAAACTTACTAAGAAAATGTACAATGTAACCATTTTTTTTTTAATTTATTTAAGGAAGAGTCCGCACTTCTCCAGTTCTTGAGAAATCGAGGAAAATATGATCAAGTGTTTAGTTGTGATGATTGCAAAATGGGCAAATGATAATAAGTGGGATACTGTTCCTTTTATGAAGAGTATCTTGGACACCCAAACTATTATGGAATGTTTGCCATAGGAAATTAAAATCTAAATTTTGGGGGGAATGTCAATTTTCCAAACCCATCGATGGGGCCAGTTATTATCTTCAAGATCGAGATTACGAGCTAACCAAGCGGTTAACTTGATTGTGAAATTTCCGCGCGCGGTAAGGTCTTACATGGGACTGTGAATCATATCAATAAGCGGTAAATGAATGCCCATGTTTTGGGCTGTTTTGTTTTTAGGAAGAAGTGCCTTTAATTTTTGGCTATCTTATTGTTTATTGGGCAAAAATCAAAATAAAGTTTGATACTCTGGTATCAAGATCAACTTTACTCTGGTATCAAGATCAACTTGAGAACCAACTATTTGAAGGAACTTTAAAAGACTTTGATTAGCCACCCAGTTGTCAATCTAAAAAAAAATATGTCTTTTCCATTGCGTATTTCTCCTATGAATATACTTTCTCAATATTTCTAGCTGTGCAAGGATCTTTCTCCATATACGAAAATCTTTCAAAGTGTGTTTACATTCAAATAGTGATGATCTTTGCCCGCAAATATTTATTGTTAATGACTTTTACCCAAAGGGTGTTAGGATGATTCTCTAACCTAATTTAGCTATGAAAAGTTTATTACATATTAAGTGGTAAGGTATGACCAAATAATTCATACTACAACTAAAATAAATTATGATAGGTTCAGGTAAATACATACAAATTAAGTTTATATGATTGAAAATCACGTATCTAATTAAGACCCAACATTTATTCTCAACCTCCCAAAATCTACTCACATTGTTTTTTAATCTCGAACTTTCAAAATCCACTCGTTTTTTAATCTTTATAGCAATATATTGTACTCTTCCAAGACTTCTCATAATGTACCAAAATTACTTGTCGGTGTGCCAAGATCAACCCTCGGAAGTGAGCCATAATATCATAGGGAAAGGGGTTCGACTTGTTCAAGGGAGTCATCACTAATTAGTGATCAATGAATGCATCAAGAAAATAAGAAGAGTAGCAAAAAGAAAAAATAAAAGTTGAGGTGAGAAAGATCAGGCATCCCCTGACGCACGTGAGAGTCATATGCAAGAGATGAACACAGTAACTGCAACTCCATGGAAGCAGCTTCTTCTTCATGCTCTCGAAGCCAATTCCCACCTCACGCATTCTCTTTTTTTCCAACTTGTATTAATTTCCACCTTTTTTTCATTAACATTTATCTTTTTCCCCAAATTACATTTTTATTTTTGAAATTTTCTGTACTTCAATTGATTGTATAATTGGGACAATTTTTTATTTTTTTTTTATAAAAAAAATTCATTGAAATTCAATTGCTTGTCTAATTGGATAGGCGTCAGTTGGAGCTAATGGGAAACCTGCTAATCGCACTGTAGTTTTCAGGTATTATTTTTCTTAATTGTTTTTAATACGAGTAATTCAATAAATGTTGTAGAATTTTATTTATTTATTTTTTAATTTAATAAAAATGGATAAATACATTGTATAATGTTCAGGGGATTTCAAGATGAAACAGATAAAATCCAGATCAACACTGATTGTCGTACTCGCAAGGTATGGTTTAATCTCTAGATTAAGTTGAATTTAAAGTATGGTTGTTGGATATTCGATTATTAGTCAATGATGAACATGTATTGTGAGAATTATTGCAGGAGAATTTTGTTTGAAGTTTCAATTAGTCAAAAATTAAGATAGTTAATTCATAAATACTGTTGATTGCAAACTCCGTCCCTTAATTATATGCTCATTTATTTCATTTATTACTCACATAATAGAGAGAAATAGGCATATAAGTAAGGGAGCGGGGAGTACCAAATTTTTAAAGTTGATGATTTACATTATGCTCTCGTGTGTATAATATAACATAACATTTCAAGGTCGTATAATTACGTACTCCGTAAGAGAGTAAGAGGTGGAGAAATGAACGGATAAAAAACAGAAGGAAATTGTTGAGAGTGGGATTTGAACCCACGCCCTTTCGGACCAGAACCTTAATCTGGCGCCTTAGATCAACTCGGCCATCTCAACAATGTGCTATTTAAACAATCATTGAACTTTTAGATCATATGATTCTGCTTATGTGTGGAAAGAATAAAAAATAGTAATGTGATATTGCTAAAGTAATGTGATATTGGATGTGTAAGGCCTAATAGTGTTGTTAAATAATGCTTAAAGATCAGTTTAGGTCTATAAAGTCCGCTCTTTTGGTTTAGTAACAAATTAATAAGCTATCAAATTATTACTCGTATCAAATTGGTCATGACTTATTTCCTTTAGTTATTCATAGAAGATCTTAATATGCATGTATCTTAAGGAGTATATTTTTTTTTGTGTGTCAAGTGTAAAGAGACCACTTACCTTTGATGTGATTGTTCTTCATAGTCCTTTTAAAAATGTAACCTCTTCGAGTAGAAGTGCTTTTGATTGTCTAGACTTTCTAAGCAAGGTTGGTCAATATTAGAGCTCCATGTTAGATATTAGGGTCGAGAAATATGAGATAGGGATTTGGCAAATTGACGATGTTATGTGTCATTTGTACAACTCATTAGCTCCTTCTCTCCTTTCCTTCACCGTCCACTCTTAACAGGGGGCGGAGGTGATAGATAGTGTGGTATAGTGGTTGAGTAATGCCTAGATTTCACTTTCGTAAAATAAGTTAATTAAGGTTCAACACATGGGTTACAAAACTCTTAGAAGTAAAGGAGAAAAAAAGTTGCTTATGAGAGTGATGATTGATAGAGAATAGAATCTGCTTAGGATGAGAAGATTGCACTGAATACTTCATTGCTTTGCTAAAATGACTGACGTTATGAAAATAAAAAAAATCCCTATATGTGCTACTATATTATGACGTTGAAGAAGTATTTCTTAATACTTCTACAACATCCAATTATGTTCCACTATACTAAATATATTGAAAGTGATTTTGTATCTTGCAAATGTCTTATTCTAAAATTTCCTTTTATAACAACTTTTCAAGGGTTACTTTCTTCGGTAACTTCTCATCTAAGCCTTTTCTAATACTTGTTATATTTGATTTTATTGCCCTTTCTGCAGATTGAAGATCTTAAGCACTGCCCATTTGCTGAGGTAATTAAGTTTTGAGGTTGACCACCTTGTTACGGAATAAGTTACATACATTGGTTTTGGATGCTTAAAGTTCAACCAAATTCCATGAAGTGTGAGCTCATTTTGCTGTCTTTCTAGATATGTTGGTATTTTATAGACTCTTGGGAGCAGTTCAGAATAAATGGAAGAATTGATATTATTGATGGGTCAAATTCTGATACCATTAAACTCCAGGTGAGCGTAGCATCTTCTGATTCATATAAATATAATGAGCTATTTGACAATTCTTTTGGTTTTGAGTTTTGAGAGTTCAATAATGTCTGTAGTTTGGACTAGGTCTAGGTTCTTAGTTTCATTACATCATTTTGTTGTATGGAAGTTACATGGTTTTAGGTGTTTGGGTGCACTTGATTCACATTGTGCCCTACAAAGAATTAACCAGTGTAAAGCCCCCTTGAATACAGTGTGATGCTATTGCTAGTTCTCATCTTGTCAATTGTGCTATAGAAATGACCAGAATTTTGTATTGTATTTATTTTCCGTCTGCTGAAGTTTCTGAAGCCAGATGTTACTCTACAAGCAGCAAGTGCATTGAGAATTTGCGATCAGCATTGTAGTGACTTGTATTTATGGATAATTGATTGGCTGTATTTTACACCGATAAACACCTTTTTATTTGATAATTTTATGCAGCAAAGGGAGAAATCGTGGTTCGCTAGTTCATTCAAGTCAAGATTGCAGTATTTGGGTCCTGATCCTGGCATACCCTCCATAACTGAAGAAGTACCAAAAGATTTCAGTTTAGATCCTTCAGCAGGCCCAGTTGATGCATTTTGCCTGCTGGTTTTAGATCCTGATCAGGTCTTGCTGGATTCAAAGTTCCTTCAGTAATGTCAACTTAGTTTATTCTTATTTTCTCTCTCACTCTCTCTCTTTTCTTTCTTGTGCAGGTGGATTACTTGAACTTAAAGACTAACACAAGGTTAACCTATAGGTGTCACAGGAATTTGAATGAAGAGAAATGCTGGACTCCAGAGAAAATTAATCCGTAGTCTCTTCTTTTCTTATTTTAAGAACATAATTGACAGTGAGTCAATGACAGATGTATATCTGTTGATCCAAGGCTTAAATCTTTAGGGGCCCTTCCCTGGATATGTAAGCACGGTCAAGGAAATCTTAGTTATGTAACAATTTGAATCCAAAACTTTCATTATTAATGAATTAATAAGTTTTCACAGGTAACCTCTATTTATCATCATTTTTGACTTTGACTTGCTAGATTTTACTATCTGTGGTTCTCATTTCTCTTGTTGTGTTCCTATATAATTACATGCTGCATTTTCCACTTATATTAAGCAGTACCGTAACTCTAAGTGACTTTTATCTCTTCTATCTCATCTTGTTGCTCAATCAGCTGTTTGTTTTTATACATTTATAATGGGCTGGAAATGCTGAATCCATCCCTGTTTCCTCACAGCATTCTATTTGAAGCATCACATATTGGGATGAAATATTATGTATTCATGGTACCAACATGTGTAGAATTATATGACACTTAAGGAGGAAATATTGATTATATTTATAAGAGCACTATCTAACTTGACCTGTTATATTGGCAGGACAGGGATAAGAACATTTACTTTTATAGTTAGCTATTGCATGTATTCATGGAATCGATCTTAGAGTGTAGAGCGAACTGAAGCAAGGCTGCCACCAGAAGTATTCAGCTACTGCATGAGGTAATCATCATTCCGAAAACATACTATTTTCAAATCTGAATTAATGGTTGTAATTCCTTTTTAACCTTCCCATTTTGTTTTTGCCTTTTTGGTGCTATTGGAACATTAGGCCTGTGGTTACTGTTTAATAGTTCTTGGAGCTGATTCCCCTTTACTATTCAATTTTATGTCAAAGATAAAAGTTTGTGACAAATGCACTGATCTAAGCAAATCTCACTTAAACCTGAATATTCTGTGCTCATTTAGCTACAGCATTGATAATTTGCTTCTAACTGATCAACTGCTGGAAATTCTCTAAAGTGTACCAAGCATTAGTTAGAGACTGGGTTAGAAACATTATTTTGCCTCGGAAATAAATGATTCAACTTTTACATTTGCTATGCTTGTAAGTAGGCAATATTTGTTGAACAAATGAAGTCATGTTTGATTCTTTGTGTTTTCTTTAACTCTTTTTTGAAGTATCTCATTGAAAATAATCAAAACCAACCCCTCTTCACCCCCCCCCCCACTCCACCCACCCCACCCACCCCAAAAAATAAGAAGAAAAAACTTTTGGTTGTATTTACCAAATATCCTAGGTCTACCTTTCACTATTTTCAAGCAAAATAAGATCAGGCTCACCCCTTTCTCAAAAAAGGGGAAAGGAGGAGGGATAATTGTAGACTTGTAGATTAAGACCTTCCTTGGCTTTCATCCTAGCATATTGGCCTATCAGTTGGAGGGCGTGGAAGTGTCTCTTGTTGGCCTTGACCATTCTTCACTATGAGCACTACAGACAGTCCCCAAGACATATGCACTTCCATGTGACAATGCATGTACCATACCCCTGACAACAAAAGGAGTATAGTGTGATCATTATTAGTAATTAGTACTCTAGCATTCCCTGGATTTATCTGACTACATTTTTATAAGAGAATTACATAAACATACCTGGATTATCTGCGACAAAGCGAATTGCTGCCCAGCCACCTGCTGGCACTCCTATGGTGTTCAGATAAGGCGGATCTACTAAGTTGAAAGATGCAGCTTGTGGGGTGTAATCTCCTGCACCATATCCCACCACGTAGAAGCTATGGCCATGAAGGTGAATGGGGTGGTTCTCTGTAGTCACAGTCCCTGTATCCTGTAGGATTATCTGCACTCTGGACCCATATTCAATGACCTTGGTTCTAGTTCCAATGATGGATTGAGTATCGTTAGGGATATCATTAGGGGCTTGATTAACAAAATCATAGACTTGTAGTGGAAAGTCTGGAAAATCTTCTGTGAATTGGCCATTGAGCTTCATGTAGTATGCCTCAAGAAGTGAGATGTTAGGCTCTCTGAAGCTCACATTGTTCATTGAGGCTGCCATCACCCCTCCGTTGATTCCCTTGCAATTTTGTGAGGGATATTTGGAGGTACATTTCTGTACATTTATTCCAATGGTGATGAAAAGGCTGGTGTCAATCTCCCTCGGGACATTTACAGCACCCAAGCTCCGGAGGCCATCCATGACAGTCTTAATGACCAGGGTATCATTGAAGCTTGGCAATGAGGTAGAAGATAAAGGAAAGTTATTTGAAGTATAGCCAGAGTATTGGAAGTAACCTATGGAGACAATCTTTTGGAAGGTGACATTCCTAGCAGACATGTAAGGACCCACAGACATGGAATATTTGCCTATCCGTTGATCAGTTGTTACAAGAGCATTGATGGTTTGACCGGGACCAAGCATGATTTGACTCACAGTTAATGGCTTTGTGTATGCTCCATCAGCTTCAACTATCGTAAGATTGTGCTTGGCGATGGCAAAGAACTGCTCCATATTGAGGGCTGCATTGATTATCCTTAGCAGATAGGTCTTCCCTGGGAGAACATTAAGTATATATGTGTCTGTAGTAAACAATTTAAACAAGGTCATCAGAGATTGGAGGACTTCCATAAATGTCATTTGGAAACCATTTAGTACATTATCAGCCTTCAAATTTATATTTTTTATTTTATTTTGGCTTGTTTCAAGGTTCAGTCCTTTAAAGTAGGTTGAATACTAATTAAGCATAGTGTGACTTTTTGATCAATGATATATTAGTATAAGAGCTTAATTGTTATCTCATTTACCATTAGTTGAGCAATTGTAGTTGGGTCCTGGATGACCATTAATGGTAAATGCATCTGCCGGTGGAGGACTTCCACCACTTGATAGAACATCATGCTCAAGTTGCACAAGGTCCTTCAGCCAGTATTCTCCTATGAAGGTGTTAGCCAAACATTTTTGGATCTTTAGCATTGGAGTTTAGATAAGCAGATAGAAAAAGAAGCTTACAGATTCAGTAAAGAAATAATTTACCTAGGAGTATGATATGTTCTTCGTATGGAGGTTTCAAAGGGTAGGGTACCCTAGTCTTGGGATATGCAACAATGGCACCATACACAGTACCTCGAAGCCAGGAGGAGTGAGCATGCCATAGAAGGGTTCCTTTTTGCTCCACCATTGTGAACTTATAGGTGAAGGTATTCCCTGGTTGGATTGGGCATTGGGTTATGTAGGAAGGACCATCGTACCAGCAGGAGAGCTTCTGACGAACGCCATGCCTGAGAAATAAATATAACATAATCAGTATTGTTCACTACATTATCGTATAAAGAAACCACAGAAATGTCATGCATACCAGTGTATTGTGATGTTGTAGGGGGAATCATTGGTAACTTTGACAGTCACTCTGTCATCTTCTCGGGCATAAAGGACTGGTCCTGGGTACATGCCATTGACAGTGACTATGTCCTTCGTGTTGCACAGCTTTGTGACCCTGGTCATTTGCACCTAATTTGTCACGACATATATCGTTCAGTCAAATCATACTTTATTGGTTAGCTTTCAGCCTTTTAGAGTAGGTTACTCAGGTTAAGCTATGACTGTTAGACATGATAAATGTCCAGGTGTCAAACTCGTGCATTTTATAAAACTTCTGTATATTTTTAGCGCATAGAGTAGTGTCAGGTATTATCTGAACCAAGTATTTGATGTGAAATGAAGAGTCAAAACAATAGATACATTATCAAAAGTGCTGTTTCAATGCTAGTTTGAAGCAATGGTTGAAAATGCAGTTTGCTTAAGAAAAGTTAAAAAAAAAAAAAAAAAAAAAAAAAAAAAAAAAGAAAGAAAAGGAAGACAGCTTGAGACCTTAAAGTCATAGAATTTGGTTGTTGTTTGACTTGACCATCTTGCTGCTGTTGGTAGAACTCGAGCTTGTAATATCAAGATGAACCATAGCATAGCAGAAGCTGCTGAATTGCTCATCCTTGGCAGACTGATCCTAATTATTTAGTAGAATTCAGCTTGTTACAGTAAAGAAGATGGTTTTATAGGAAAGACTCAAAAAAGAAAGAGAGTTGGACTTGCTTTTTTAGTGTATGCTCCTTGCTGATTTGTTCAGCTGTCATGATTTGTAACATGGATGGGTGATAATAAGTTGTTTGGAGCATGAGCATACAGGATTGGATTAATGTGGGGAAAGTTTTGGCTTTTGACCTATCAATACCTTTCCCCAAAAAAAAAAATACATTCTTTTTCTTGGTTTCATGTTGCTCCCTGAAGAAGCAATCTCTCTTTCACTGCTGGTTTTCACTTATGGTTTTTGCTAGGGCCTGTCAAGCTACTTTTGGATGATTTTTGTTAAGATGGAATAGCTATGATGTTTATTACATTAGATAGGATCCTAAATGTGATTAATACACGTTTACATCTTATTTAGTAGATTACTAAAGTCGTTCATGTTAACATTGTAGTAGTAATTATAGTTCATGTATATAATATTAGGAGATGTATGATGTACTACTCAAAGTCTAATATGTGTTGTGTACTATTGTACTCTGTAAAGTTATGCAATGATTTGTAAAACCTGGATTTTTTTTTGCCAAGGTCTTCCTGTTTGATGATCAAAGCTCAAGGCGGATGCAATTTTGCTTAGTGACGAAGGTGTTGATTTCAAAATGGTTTACCATCTAATAAGTTGGAGATTCGCTCTTGAGGAAGGTATGTGAGAGTGTGAGACGACAAAAGTCACCTTACTACCTGAATATATGTGCAAGTGAGTAGATGGTAGAAATCGGATCTCTTGAAACTATTTCGGATATGCCAAATGAATCTTATGTCTTAGGGGTGGTTCACTGGTTCAGCCATGCTCCCGTAGGTAACTCATTATTATTTTTTAGTTTTCATTATATATTCAAGCTATGTTTGATGATGGTGAATTGGTATTTTGGTGACCACCTTATGTTACAATTCTTTGGTTTGCAGTATAAATGAAGGTTTTTGCGAACCTGATCTTGTGTTTAAGAAGATTTCATTGATTATTTATTTTAAGCTGATTCTCTCAGATTATGTTTTTGGGTTTTGGAGAAGTAATTATAGTTATACCTCAGTTTTTCTTTTTCCCAAAGAAAGTTGTTACATACAAGTATGTTGTACCAGACGACTAGTGAGTAGTGACTAGTGAAGATGATATAGAGGGAATACTTTTGCTAGATCTTGACTGAAGGCGGCATTTGTTGGCCGGGGTTAGATAAATAATTCCGTTGTCATAGGCCACGTATCTATTTTAGGCAATTTTCTGTTTTTTTTGGCCTATTATTTAAAAACCGGGGAATATTAATTTAGCATAATTATAATAAATTGTATGCATGTACCCCAAGTCGAAAATAATAGTCGTAAGATTTCTTTTTTTTTAGTAGTCAGTCTAGTCACTATTAATAAAATAATAATGATTTTTAAATGTACTTTACTAGATATCATCATTATAATTGTGACAAAATTATGTTGTTAGAGTAGAGTGAAAATATTATTTCAAGTTGAGCTTTATATATGGTGGGACAAAAGTGGTCGGATGGTCAATGACCAGTGATGATGGAGTTACCGAGTACACAAATGGTGATGAAGTAATTGGAGAAGAATACATACATGCAAGTTAATTCTACGAAATTCTTATATAATGTGGCCACATGTTAAGGTACTGTAAGTTATACTTCAAGTCACTTCCTTACTCAGTGTTATCTATACCTTACCTCGTTGTGAGAAGAGCATCATAATTCGTAAATTGTGTTCTCACGATGAATGTGCCAAAATCAATTTTTGTTGTGCCAAAATTATACTCCAATTGTTGCGCGCAAAGCTGTAGTCGTCGACACGGACTAGTGTATATACTGAATTCCATGCAATTTATGATAATTGGTAACAAAACACCAGGTCATGATGAAGACAAAGGTCAAAGGAAGGCAATGTTTAAAGCAAGTAGGCAACAAGGTTAAAATGTGAAACAATAGTGGTTGAAGAAGGCAGAAAGGAGTAAAAGGTGATTGGAAAGAGAAGATTTGGCCGGGCTTTTGCAAAACACAACCTTTTGCACGCCTTTCTGGCCCCATTTACTTCATGTTTTGATATGGAGGAGCTTCTATGGCTTTTTTGACATGTCTTCATTGCTTAGAATTATGGCATTCTTCTAGTGTACTCATTTCATCTTTTTATTTGATTATTTTTAATCCGTGCTCTTTTTTCTTTAATAATATTGGAGGAAAATAATACTTGTATGTATTATGCTACATTGTAAAAAAATTATTGGTTGTAAATGATTCTTTTATATATTACGGAGTAATGCATTGGTGTAATGTTCAACATAATTCCTATATGTTAGGTTTTTATATTTTTGTTTAGCATTATTCTTATACGAAGTATATAGATTTGCAAAATCGTGTTTCATTAGACTAAGGAGTATCATAAATTCGTGATTGAAGAATGAAGGTCCCATGACCAGCTAAGCCAACGTCCCCAAACCAGCTCGGGTGGCACGAGCTGCATGACACATTGACACACGTTAGTTTGCTGCTCATGTACATCATATGCGCCAATATGGTGTGTACCAATAAGAGTGCCTTCCCGGCTGGACTTGATCACCAAATTTTGATCCTTAAAATGCTGGTGATAACTGATAACATTCGGAATCAGAGATCAACTGATCACTATGCTTCTGCAAGTCGTTCTATTCAGAAGTATAACTCTGTATGTGGCTCATATTTGTTGCGTAATGATGAACGAATGATGACAACATGAATCTCTAATACGTTAGATTTTTCTCTTTTTATTTTTTAGCATTATAAAGAAATAAAAAAGTTCACAATAGCTAAGCCTCTTGGATGCTTCATGTTTTTTAGCTCTTAATATTCCCTATTTTGCTCGAGCTATTGACCAAGTATCAGAAACGTCCATAAAATTGGTTACTACAAAAACTAAATTCTTCTGTTCAAACTCGAACTTGTTTTTATTTCAGAAAACAATAAATAATTAGCTATAATATATTATTACAGAAAAACAGTTGTCTTGTAACTGCATTTGAAAGTCAGGCTTCAGAGTCCAAGCAAGAACCCCAGAAATTCTCCAGCAGAGGACCAGTAGGTCTTCCTGCTTATCTAGTTAACCACAGGCTTCTACGTTCTCTATATATATACTAACCCTCGTTAAGACACCTATGCGCTCTCTCTCTCACCCTCCACAACCCTCTATCATCATCCATCGACATTGTTTCCTTAATATAAGTTTCCTAGCAATAACAATGACTACTAGACTTCCAATTCATCTGGCAAGGGGTTCAACTGAAAACAGAGCTCAGAAGGAGAAGCGCTTCAAGATAATACGAACAAGACTCTACATTATCCTTCGTTGTGTGTTGATGCTAGTCTGTGGGAAAGAAAGTGAAGGCTGATCATGTCTACCATCACGCAAGTTGGAGCACATGCTGAAGCAACTAGGTTGAAATTCTAGAGTTTATTACGGAGTATAGTCACTAAGAATCTGTAGAAGAATGTAAATGCTAGTATAAAGAACAAGGCAATGCAGATTAGAACCAGTTAGTCTCTACTCGCTTCTATTTGTTGAAACATATCCTACCCCTTAGTCACTTCGCTCATTAGTGTTCTGCCCTTCAACCCTAGTAAAGTATGAACACAACTTAGATGCAACTATGCTAAAACATCACAGATAAATAGCAAGATTTCCAACAAAAATCATTTTGTACATAAGAACATATACTATGTTTACTTCATAAAGATAAAACTCTCAGGCTAATCTACTAACTCATGGCTGTTCAAAAGATAATCCGATTGTGAAATCTAAAGCATCAAGAAGCAAGCTCTACACAGATCAAAATTCAATATATGCGCCATTAAGAGCATAAACTTTAGCTTAATTCTCAATTTTCACTTTCTTGTATGATCCGATCCAATTGTAAGCAGATAAATCCTAAAGTATGCCCAAAAGATTTGCTGAGAACTCCACTGCAAATTCCCTATCAGTTTTTTGTCAATGAACTCAAAAAACTACACAGACCAGAATTCAATATAATTGCCATGAAGAACCCAAGTGCATATATTTTTTCAGTTTTGCCTATGAACTAACAATCTACACTAACCAGAACTCATTCCATCACACATCAAGACTCAAGAACACAAGCCTAAACATTGTGGGTCATGTCGTCATGACTCATGAGTTCCGAAAACACAAACAATGTCATTAAGGCAATGCAATCAAATCAATAGATTTAAGTTGGTCTTTCAGACAAGAGAAAGCATTGTCAACATTAACAGCATTGGACATACACTTACATGATGGCTGATAAGCAAATCAAGGCTCAACTATAACCACAAATCCACAAACAAATTGAAGATTATCATAGAAATCCAGTTTAGAAGCAAGCTTTATAAATTTTTGGACTGACCTCCTTTTTTCACCTTAAGCATCACAATCAAAGAATAATGATGTACTTTAAAATTATTGAGGAAAAAAAAACCTACTCCAGAAATTATACTTTTTTTTTTTATCCAATAAATCTGCAGGCACAAAATTTTCAGCGTCTAAGGCTAATTTGTTTTAATTCATTCAGTTAAAAAAAACAATTAATTTAACGCCAAATTATAATGAAAAGAGGAGAATTTATGATAAATGAAACAAACACAATAAAAAGTAGCATTACAAAAAATAAAACTAACAAATTACTGAGATTGTCATGAAATTGGGCAACAATTGAATTAAAATTTTCTAAAACTACCAGATAATCCGCATATATAAATGTACAAATAAAAATTTGTACGGAGTAATTGATTGTTTTGTATAGTTAACGACACTGCTAATTTGCTATACAAAACCTAATCTAACCTGATAAACAATAATAATGACTAATTAAAATCGAAAATTAAAAACACAAAACCCTAATTAAGAAGAGAGAGAAAGGTGAATCAAACGACAAAATTGGTTGAGTTTTGATGAGTCGAAGAAGATGTGGTGGTGGTGGTGACGCGGCGGAGCACGGGCTCCTCCTGGTTGGTGGCGGCGTCGTCGACGTCGGTGGTGGAGACGTTAATACAAGAGCAACGCTCGAGTGAAGCAAAGAATGCTGTTACTACGTTTGTTCCCAACCATGATAAGAAGCTGCACCTTTCCATTATTTTCTCGATTAAGATAACTGTGCTTAAAATTCGCTCTGAATCTCTGATTCTACAATATTTATTTAGCTAAATACAAGTACATGGGTGCAGGACCAACTTATATACTACTGTGTACTTTTCATATGAGTAAATGAAAGATTATCTTTTCTTATGGCTAATTATTAATTAAAAAAAAACTATAAATAAAAGAAAGCTAAAGATTCCAATCAAATTAACCATTTTTTTTTATTTGAGTTTAATCATCATTAATTCATTATACGAAGTATATGTTTGTAGAGTAGACACTAAATCTGTTCTAAAAAAAAAAAAAAAGTAAACACTAAATCAAATTTAACTAGTAATATATGCCACTTATTAATAATTTTATTCTACGAGTACTAGATTAGTGTAAAGATAAAGTCAATTAATATTGTCAAATTC